GGCCCTCTGACCACCACCAGTAGGCAACAGGTGAAGTGTCTTGCCCAAGGACGCAATGACCGAGACTGTCCAAGCTGGGGCTCGAAATGGCAACCTTCCAATTACAAAGCGAACTCCCAACTCTTGAGCCATGATAGCCCCAATAGGAATACAAAACTGTGCAAAAATCTTGAGTCACCATTTCTTCATATTTTGCAAAGAAATTGTGAAATAGCTGCAGCGAGTTATTGAAACATTCAAGAATTAATCTGAATACAGTAAACGAGAGTTTATACAAATGTAACAAGTTTGAAAGTCAACATTTGGTATGATCACTTTTATTCTTCAACACAGCATGAACTCTTAAAGTTTGTTTCCTTTAAGTAGTCTTCAGGAATACTTTTCCAGGCTTCTTAAAGGACATTCAAAAAAGGTTCAATAATGCTGAGATCTGGACACTGGGGAGACCAATTCATGAGTGGTAGTGCCTGCCCGCCAATTCTTTTACACAATAAAGACATGAATTTCAGATACTCTTTATCTGCTTTGGATAGTTTTTATACTTTATTTCTGTCAAACTGTGTTTTCTTGGGCAATTTTTGTAGATTTACATACAGTAATGGGAACAAATTGCATGTTTGAATGATCTTCAGAAAGCTTTCTGAGCTCAAGACTACTTTAAATAATTACAAATACACCTGCGTCCTTGGAAGCCAAATATAAAGAAATTAGGTCTGGTTTAAGACTTTTGCACAATACTGTATGTCATCCACAAATTTACCAGTATGATGAATTATTTTCTATTGATTTGTATTCATGGAGCAATGCTTGCACAAGAGTTTAAGTGTTCTCCTGAACACAAGCTCCTAATTTTGACAGCAAATATCCCACAGCTCTGACTAAGACCTGTCAGTGCATTGCTGCTCTGTCATGCCTCTTTCAGTCCCTACACTATGTCATATATCTGTCTATCTATACACACACACAGCTGATGTAATCATTTCAAACTGAATTTTCCAATCTTCCACACCAGTGCCACAGAAATCACTGATGATGACTGCACTAGTTATGCATTAGTTGCATTTAGTGTGTTATATTTTTAATCACTAATGACAGCCGCCTTAAAATCAACAGCAAATTCTTAAATACCGGCACGTAACAAATAATTTAGATCTGCAAATACAAGGACACATTCTTTTGGCAGATATATTTACAGCTTTCATGAGATCATGAATAAATACATATTGTAGCTTTATTTACATTACATTGGATTTATATACAGTTAGGGTGGTATGTGAGGAACTATTGTGTAAAAAGAAATACATTTGTTTATCCCCGAATATAAACAGGAAAACATAGATGTGTAATAAATATTGTTTTTGTCTGAGAGGAATGCCAAGCTCCTGTGCTGTGACTCACCACAGCAGCCCAACCTGTCACCAGAGCCTTGTTTTATTTTTATGAATGAAGACTGAGTCACAGGTTGTATGTGCTCCAAATCCAACATACCCTGCCACACTCTCTGTTATATGTGCTTTTTCCCATTTTCCAGATGGACATACTTTGCATTCTGTGCTGTCTTATCATTTTCAGGCTTGAAGAGAGCTTGGATGTCAAGCATGGCCTTTCGAATATGCTGACCAAACCGATATGAGTCCTGCAGGTCAGACAGAGAAGGAGCAATCAGAGCAAGAGATAAAAACAGGAAGAGTTGGATCTATAGTATGCAGTGCTCTTTTTTTCTGTCTTACTGTGTCAGGACTGGAGAACTTGCTGGAGATGTGGAATGTGATGAGGTTTTCCCCAACAATGATATAAGACACACCGTAACCATCGTCAGCTACCTAAGATAACAAAGAGACGCTGTTACATTTCACATGGCCCTCCTTGATCAGGCCAGCAGGTAAGAAAGCTATGACTGTAACTTTTTGCACATGTTCATATTGCATCAAATTAACTCACAGGGCCGAATCCACCCCCACCCCCCACATATTTCGGGAACTTGTTGATGTCAACTAAATTGAGCTGCTGCTGTGGAGTCTGGCTGGTGGACAACTTCCAGGGCTCCGAAAGCACCTTTAAGCATTACGCAAAGACAGTGAATTTAGTTTGGAAAAGAGCATTATAAAACAAAAACACATTAAAAACACATGATAGATAATAGTGCTAACCTTAGTAAGAAATGGTGAGTCAACACCAAGGTATTTAGATACTATATAGAGACAGAAAAGGTGACGATCGATCCCAGAACCAGTCATGGCCAGACGATACATGTTTTGGTGCTTTTCTGCTGCTTTCCGAAACAGGGCAAGTCTCTGGGTATTCTGACAACATAAACAACAGGCAATGTAGTTTCTAATATTTCTAAATAAATAAATAAAAACTGCATTAAAATAATTTTTAGATTTCTTTATCAATGAAGGAAAGTACCAGCTTGACCCTGTCAGAACATCCAAGAGCTTAAAGTCCAGGGCACTGACGCACATTATCTCTAGGTCTTGGTCACCATGGTCTTAGTAGAACAACATGTTCTTTAACAATGTGACCCATTGGAAAATCTAAAACTGAGTACATGAACGTCCTGTGACTATAAGATAAACATTATAAACCACATTAAGTCCAAAGTTGTTGTCTATTTTTATTACAAACGTCACCATTAAAACGCCTTTGACCTGTGATTCTCTTTATACACACCTGTCGAGCAGCTGAATGATGTCATGACCTTTTTATTTGTTGTGGACATGGTTATTTGTTTTGCCTACCGTCGCACCGGCGTCCTCCATGGCTCTGACGAATGCAACTGCCTCAGAAGTGCAGGAGCGCACTGTCTCTGTCCGCCCATCTCTGAACATACGTGTCATGGATGATTCGTACGTCAGACAGAACACACGCTGGTCCTATAAAGCAAAGAGCTATCTATTAGTTGATGGTTGTAGATGCATTTAAAGAAATGTCAGTGATTCTATGAACTATGGCAGGCCTACCCTAAACTGGGCCAGCTGCAAGGCCAGCTGAATAAAGGCATCAGGGCTTGTCCTGCACTTCTTGATCAGGCCTTTCCCAAACTCAGCAAACAGATAGCCATGGAAGTCCACATCATCAGCTATCTGCTTGGCTGAGAGGTATGATGTTTCAATGACATTTTGGCACTTAGAGAGGGTAAAAGAATATCCTAATTAGTTTGTGTACAGATCTAAAATACCAACGGCTCCATTAAATTAAAAGAAAAAACTAAAAACAATACTGGATATAAGAAATAAATACAAATTTTTCTATACCTCATTTGGAATCTGCCATTGTAGTCGAGTGGGATGAGGCAGGTTTTTGTTCACATCCCCTTTACAGTGTCCCTCCTCAGTGTATCCAAGATGGAAGCAGTCTGTTGCTAGAACACACTAAAAAGAAAAAAAAATGCAGCTGAAGAAAATTTGCATTCTTTGAATCATTATTTTAGGATTTATTCAGAACACTTTTCCTACCTCCCACATGTGTCCTGCAATTGGTGCATCAGCCCAAGAATGTTCAACATTAACACCCATTTTTCCATTTGGATAAGAGATCAATGTAAAAGATTTGTCAAACCACCTGCAAGAAAAAAACCCAACATCTTTTAGGGAATCAGTTTGGTCAAAGTCAATAAAAGGCTTGGTCTTCTTTGCCTACCTGTCATAACATTTTCCATGCAGCAGGGACTTGGCGTAGCTATCAAGTGAGTTGGTCTTTGCAGGATCGTAACCCTGCGGCTCATCATCCAATGTCAGGAAGAAGGCAGCTGACTCGATTGCATCCAGGGATACTTTGTTTATGCCCTGGCTAAAATATTTTATCCGAGCCTGAGCCCATGGAACCCTAAGGGTGAGAGTGAGACCGTTTCCCTTTTCTGCTGAAAGTGTTTGAACATTTAACCTGCTTACTTGCTTTTTTAAGGTGTTATTTGTTTGTATATACCTGTATCCTGCTGTCAGGGCAGCTAGTTTGAGCTCTCCTGGTTGAGGTTCTGATGTATCATTGAGAATCCTTTGAAACTGTGTTTCAAGTTCACTGGGCAAAAGGTGACGGCCTCCAGTGTAAAGCCACACCTGGAAAAACCGACCCTTGTGGAAGACAACCAGGTGTTTCCGATCAGTCAGGTGCTGCACAAAATCTGTAAAGATTGTTAAGCCGGTAAAAGATTAGATTTAATTTAAGTTACACACAGTGACTTACTGAATGCACAGCATTAAAGATATGTCCCAGTAGCTTTACAGAGTGATGGAACCTATTTGCTGTGAAATCATTAATAGAGATGTAGCCACTAGTGCTGCATACTGGACAATGGGAAGTATCTTATCTGTGATTCAGTGATGATTGAGCACTCATACAGTACAGATCTAAACATTTGCTCACCTGTTTCAATGCCAGGGATGCGAGTGGTGTTAAACATCCTCTCCATCTGAGTAGAACACATAGGAACAGTCCCCAAAGCCCTCAGCTGAGCAGAAAAAGTTCAATAGAAGTCAACACAGAGTTTAACCTTGCAATAAAACGAGAGAAAAGAGTAATTGTAATGGCAAGCTATACCGGTGCAAGTTCACCACGTTCCAGTTTGCGTCTGTATTGCAACATGGCATGTACCACATTTCCTGCTCTTGCAGCCTGGCGGTGTGTTGGGGTCACATACAAGAGGTCCTTGTCACAATAAATGGAATGACCAAACACAACAAAGTGACAACACAAAACAGAGAACAAACACAGATAACAGACACATTTATTTGAAAAGTTAAAGATGACGTGTTTAAATTATTTAAAATAAATTATTACCTCATTCCCATTACTAACAGAAAAATGAAAAAACGCTCAACTGATGTACTGATAGTTTTACATACCATTATATAGAAGTTACTGTTGACCATGATAGGACTCCTGCCCCTGAGGTAAATGTACTCCTCCCACCAGTCACTTACCTGGAGAAAATTAAAGGGTTTTATTGTCTAACATTACAATTCAAGAGAATTTCAGTAGCATGTTAGACAGAAAACACTACTCACATAATTTGTTGCCCACCATGATTTTAAGATTAGGCATCTCTGCAGTTGGGCTGCTTTGTTTTCTTTAAAATCACTGGCCAAAAGCTCCATTTTATTGTACTGCTCATTGTCCAGCAGAGGTCGAACTGAGTCAAGGTACTGTGAAAAGAATATCATACGCAGGGAGTAGTGTTACATAGAAGCAGACGTCACGTAATAAAATTTCTTCTATTTGCCCAACATCTCTAAAATTAGAAATATCCTGTCTCAGAGTGATGCAGAAAAACTAGTTCATGCATTTATTACTCGTAGGCTGGACTACTCTTATTTTTTACTATCAGGAAGTCCTAAAAACTCCCTGAAAAGCCTTCAATTAATCCAAAATGCTGCAGCAAGCGTACTGACAGAGAGAGAGCATATTTCTCCTATTTTGGCTTCCCTTCATTGGCTTCCTGTTAAATCCCGAATTGAATTCAAAGTCCTGCTCCTCACATAAAGGTCTTAAATAATAAGGCCCCATCTTATCTTAATGACCTTATAGTACCATATCAACCCATTAGAGCACTTTGCTATCGGACTGCAAGCCTACTTGTTGTTCCTAGAGTATTTAAAAGTAGAATGGGAGCCTTCAGTTTTCAGGCCCCTCCCTCTGTTGAACCAGCTTTCCGTTTGGATTCGGGAGACAGACACTATCTCTACTTTTAAGATTAAGCTTAAAACTTTCCTTTTTGCTAAAGCATATAGTTAGGGCTGGGTCGGGTGGTCCTGAATCCTCTCTTAGTTATGCTGCAATAGATGTAGGCTGCTGGGGGATTCCCATGATGCGTTGAGTATTTCTTCTTCAGTTACCTTTCTCACTCAGTATGTGTTAATAGACCTCTCTACATTGAATCATTAATTGTTATTAATCTCTATCTCTCTTCCACAGCATGTCTTTTATCCTGTCTTCTTTCTCTCTCCCCAACTGGTCGCAGCAGATGGCCGCCCCTCTATGGTTCTGCTGGAGGTGTTTTCCTGTTAAAACTGAGTTTTTCCTTCCCAATGTTGCCAAAGTGCTTGCTCAGGGGGTCATTTGATTGTTGGGGTTCTCTCTGTATGTATTATTGTAGGGCCCCACCTTACAATATAAAGTGCCTTGAGGCAACTGTTGGTGTGATTTGGTACTGTAAGTGTACTGTAAATTTATTTTAATTTAATTAACAAAACATTGACATATCAGGTGAAAGGTATAACCAGAAATTCTGGAAGACATCCAAGACAGCTTTTCTGCAAGAGGAGGACGTGCCAAGATCCTCCCAAAAAGCTACTGAAAAACTGTACACAATTTGAGCAGGGTGCAGGAAGGCTGCTGGAGCAGTATAGGTAGTATTTTTTATACCTGTGCTTGGTTAGTCTAATAAGTTTTTGTATATCGACTGAATGGTTGACAAGAACTTCAGCTGGTGTAGATTGAGTTCAGTGTGAGTTTAGATTCAGGAACTGATGGAACAACCATAACTAAAAGCTTCTGTGCATAAAAATCTCACATACTTGTAATGTTGTCCAGACCATGTTTCTATGTATTTAGAAAACTATGGGAGCACAAATAAGATATGTGTTTCTGATCATGCAAATCCATTACTGTAACTACATACCCTGTGAATTGTATCATCCACACTGGGCACAGGAAGCCTGGGTAAGGAGGCCTGGAAACTGTAGAGCAAGGGTCTGCGTCCAGAAAACATCTTTACCAGGCACTGGTAACAAAAAAACAAACAGAAAAAGAAACAAATCAGTGAAGATCCCTTCTCTTTAATGACAGAACCAAAAAGTCCCAAATGAAATAAGAGTCATGCCATGAATGAAAATGAGACGAACATACCAGCCACACTTTAGTTGATGTGCTCATTTTTCCATGGGACTCAAAAATCCATCCATGATAGGACAGCAGAGCTTTAAGAGTGTATCTCAGGAGGTAGATGAGGAACAGCCACAGTCCTGTGGCAAACAGGATGGCACTCAGCACTGCTCGTGTCTGTACTGACATACAGTCTCTGCTCAGAAAATGCAAAACACCGCCTTTGTCAATAACGACATAAAAACAGATAAATGACTCAAAATAACCGCATCGCTTGTCCAGTAAAGTCTAAAGGTCCAGTGAAATACTTCAAAACTGGGCTTTGTGGGATTACTGACCGATATGGTAGGTTTTCCTTGATGGTATCCATCATTCCCAGAGACAGGTCTATGTGGATATATAAAGAGCTCATCATGGCAATTACAACTATTAGCCAACTGGATGGACTGGCAGGGTAGACTCCTGCCAATACACCATTCTGTGGATATAAAATATTGGTTAGTAACAAAAGGGCTCTTCTTTCAGTTTGGACATTACCATATTAAGTGCCAGTTTTTGTACCTTGAATTGAATGGCTTTCTTCTTCCATGCTGTCACTCCTGATAGGTAGATATTTTTGATGACTTCTTGGCTCAGTTTAAAGTCCACACCATCTGGGCGCACAGTGAACTGGAAGCCTACCGCCTGATGTGCCTCAGCCATCTCTGTGTTCTGGTAACATTAACAGCATTGAGAAGTTATTACAGTTTTTTTTTTAAATACAGTGGTCTATAATATTTTATAATATCTCTTGATAAAAAAATACACATAATAAATTAATGTTAATTCATTCAGGGTTACAGAGACCAAAGTGGTGCCCAGAAAACTAATTTATTTACAATAAAATGTATCCATCCATCCATCCATCCATCAAGTTTCTTACCCAGTATAACTGAAAATTAATATAAAAATTACTGTACTTAGAACTACGGCCCTCAACTGTTTTGCTGGCCTGCTGTCTCTGTTTTTAAAAGTTAAGTGCAGGTGTGCCTTTATTGGGGCGACGTTGGTAGGAAGTAAAACACTCCCAAACAATTAAAAAAAATAAAAGAAGAAAAATAAAAAAATCAGCAAAAACCACACCATAAAATTATTTAAAAAATGTAAAATACTCCCACTCCTAATGACAGCTACAAATGTTTGTCCTACCAAGATCTTAATGTCCAAAACGCATACCTTTTGTTGTTTAAAGTCCCACACAGGCCTAGAGGGTGTCGGCACCTGTGGCAACCACTGGATGCCAGGTAAAAAATGTATGTTTCATGCACCGGATTGCAGCACCAAACTATGAAAAACTGAATAGTGGTTGTTAAAGGTTTCAGAGATTTACAACTTCATGGTGATAACACACTCTAAATTATTTTCCACATAAAAAATAAGCTATGTCTGTAAAGATCCCAATTTTGAATCATGCCTACTTATTACTAGTCCATTGAAAGGTCGTCACCGAGAGACTTACAGACTGATCATCATTTTCCTCATTTCTTTCCCCATTGGGCCATGCTCAGGTTTGACTAAACATTGGGTATTTCATTAACTGTTGTTATACACACAAATAGGCTGATCATACCACAGTTAACCTCAAGAAAAAAAAAACTTTCACAGATGTGACTGACGGCAGTTTTAAAGAAAGTGGTTCTATTTGTCCTGTTTGCTCATAATGTGATAAGGTGGGTCACTGGCAGAAGTTTAACAGGTGTCTAAATGAAAAATAAATACACTGAAGGTTGAAAGGGTTCAGTCTTTGTCTGAGAAATACGATGACCTTCTGTAATTCTTAACAAAAATATCAGGACTTCCCATAGCAGTCCATATAATGGTTGGGGGCGGCAGGTCTAGTATTTCTTTTTCCATGTCATATGACTGAACAGTCACCAAGTGGGACAAAGTTCAGTGGCCTGATATAGTGGTACACCGGCTGAGCATGTGTGCAATCCGTAGACGGGCATGGAAATATAAACACAGAATACAACACGCAAATGTGTGCAAACCTACTGGTATAATTTAAGATTTAGAAAAGCTCTGCAGCTTTGTTATTATACACAAATTTCAAAATGTCGCAGATATCTAAAGATTTTGGTCTGTTATTGAAAACCCTCTTATAATATTCCAATTTTAATGCCCAAGCAAAATTTTAGCTTTACACTTAGAAGCAATCAGGAAGAAAAAGCAAACATGCAGAAATGAGCAAAAATAACTTTACCTTTTTAGGGCAGTGTGAGCCTAAACCAATGGAGCAAAGGAAAGCTATGACTTTGGTTTGTGTCAGTGAGGCAGTGAATTTCTTCTGAGCTCAGGCTTATGTGCTCTGTGCCCTTGGAGTGGCTTTCCTCAGGTTGTGGTCAAGTTTGTCCTTTCCTGTGCTTTACACACCTCCCCACCACCATCCTCGGTTTCTCTCTCTCTCTCTCTCTCTCCCATGTCATTGTAACAAGACACCAAACAGAGACAGAGCCTAACTGGCTACGTAACTGAATCCGCTGTAGCGCTGTGTCGAGAAGTAACAGAGAGCCATGTGACATTTCACCTACTTCTCCCATATGGCACCAATAAATAAATAAATAAAACACTGTAATACCAGTTTTATATTTGACACTGATGAGAATAGTTAGTAGGACTTGAAGGTGTTAATCAAGGCAAGAAATGTATTGCATTGTATATACTGCATTATTTTAATGTAAACAAATCAAACATTCAACATAGCGGGGTAAACTGGTCTTACATTTTAGGATATTTTTTGGAGACTACGACAAATTAACAGAAATTTTGAATCTCTCTCCCTCTATATATACATATATGTATATAATCTCTTTATCATTTCCTTATAAATATGAACACTGGACAACATAAGGACTGGGAAGTGATCTAGAAGTACTTGGGCTATTGCAAACTACATTCAGCCCAAAAGAACCTGCACACAACATATGTGTGCAAAGATGCTAACCATAGCATTAGAAATGTAGATAAAAGGTAGCTTCATAGCGAGTGAAGATGGGTAGAGGAGGGAAAGCTTTGACGGAGAGCGTTTGGAGGTCCATGCTAACAACAGTGTTGTGCTCAACACTCGGCATCATCAGGATCTGATCACCAGCCACTGTCCCCTGACCTGCAAATGCCACTTTCTCAGCGCTGTACACCTGGGGGAAAAAAGAGCATTATCAACATTTTAATTGGAGTGAAACATTACTTTGAATGAATATGTTATTTAGGCATCCAGATAATCCAGTGCTCTTCTAATATGAGTGTGGGTTTGTTGATTGTTTACCGGCCCCCATTTCTGTGACTCCACACAGAATGAGGTTACCACATTCTCTGAGTTGTTGCCACCAATCACAAGCAGCCTGTCCGTGGCCCCCAGGAAGTAAAGTGTAGGGAGATCTACGCTGGCTCTGGTAAGGGTGGGAAGCAGTTCAGACCATACATCTAATAGAGAAAGAAAGAATTCAAAAGAACCATTTATGAATCAGTGTACAGCTTGTAAATGTAAATCTAGAGCTGGTGAACTGAAGACATTTTCCAGACAACAGCACACATAAGAGTGAGCTTTCTGTGCTGGAAATAAAACCAGGGTTTTTTTTTGCTGAGCTTGGTTGCTTTTTTCCAGATGTATCCACCTTTCTTTGTGTTGTACTGCAGTAACAACTTCTCTCCAGTCCTCTGGATGCTCCCCAGCACATAGATACACTGTCCAAGGGTTGTAGCAAGAGGAACATCATGGGACAAAGACATGGTGAACTGGAAGTCAGTGAGTGGCAATGAGGACACAAACCTGAGGCAGAGATTATACCAATAACTAAAGGAAGCTTCTTTTTTTTTTTGGAAAAGAAACAATTAGAAAGCATCAAGTGCTACAGAAAGCTGTTAGCTGTTTTGAACTAACAAAGAGGAAACAAACCTCCACTTATCTTTCCATGGGTCATAGCACTCTACAGCTGTGTAGAGAGCTGTGCTGGAGTCTGGAGTTACTAGAGAATCCAAGTACCAGCCTCCCACTGCGTAAATACAGCCTTCACAGGCCACTGCACTGAAGTGCCTTCTGTGCTGTGGATATGACAGATGGCGACACTTTTCATTAGTGTTATATAAACGATGGAAAAAGACAAGGCAAGAGGAATTCGTTGGGGCTACGACAGACAGGCAGACTGGCCACCCGCTTGAGAGACAAACTGGGAGACTGCTTACTTTTATCAGAGGAGATGTGGTGACCCACGTATGAGTAAAGGGATTGTATCGAAAGGAAGCCATGCTGAACTCCCAGCCTCTCTTCATACGCTCCCTGTAACCTCCTATGACATACAAGTAGTTGTAAAGCACCACTGTTGTAATACACCATTTATCAGCCCGAAAGGGAAGCTCTGTAACTGGACACCAATCTCTACTGTCCTCTGATCCTTGCAGGGTGAAGATGTGTCGTGCATGTTCTGTTTCTGGATCCTTCCAAGAACTCAGGTTCTCTTTCCGTAGGGTGCAGAGGTGTCGGTCTCCTCGAGTCCTCAAGTGGACAGCTTCTTCCCTCTCCTCTTCATTCAGGCACCTGAGGTATAAATCGATTTTAGTGAAAAAAGACAAACATTTAAAATCGGGGAATTAAAACTTTGCTTACCTGATGATGTCTGGGAGCTCCAGCAGGTTTCTACTCAAGTAAGTCAGTACTGTCATCTTCAGTTCCACACAAAAGATCTCATGAGCAAGACTCAGGTATGACAAACAGTTAGATGGGCTGAGCTCATCTGTCAGGACTGACAGGCACTTTGAGAGGAAGGCATCTGCTAGAAGATAGTTGCTTACCTCCAGAGACAGAAAGAGAAATATAAGAAATCATGATGTGACTCCTAGGAATTTGAATTACTAGCCAAGTAGGTTTATATATTAAGATGTACCTTGATATGTGTTCCCAACTCATTTTGGGGAACTTTGAAATTATTATTGAAGGAAAACTCAAGCAGATTGTGGAAGATGGAAGAGGACACGTGATCCATGTGGATGAGGCTCTCAGAGGTCTCTCTCATGCTGGACTGGGACAAAGCTCGGAAGTACTCACTGCACTCTGAAAGTCTTTGTAGGTTCACCTTTGAAATAAATTATTAAACCAAGTTTTTTAAACGGCCTTCTGTTAACCAGTATGACTGGAAATCTCACACGTTGCTTAATACTCACAAGAAATGTATGTGGGCTGGTTTGGACTGTAACCTTGGTTTCATCACCATCTCCAAGGAGATATGTGCGTAGCGCTTCATTAGTCTTCCATTCCTCTGAGTCTGTTTGGCATAATGCTCTGTGTGTGACAGCTGATGACGCTATCCAGTTGTTGACTATTGGAAAAGCATCCAAAATCCTTCTAAGAATGCATTTCAGCCAAAAGCTTACCCACTCAAAAAGTATCATAACGTATTGCCTGAGATTATTCATCTGAATGACAGAGCGCTGTCTGGATCAAAGTTTAGGCCATTTTTAACCGTTTAAGTTGCACCTCACTGTAATTCAGAAATGAAATGCTGGTCTTCCATATAAGGTAAGCCAGGCCCGCTGAAGAATTCCAACAACCTCTGCACAATGGAAAAATAGAAGTATTTTAGTCCATGTGCTGTCAGCTGCTCTCCATTTCCCTGCCTCGGCTCTCACAGTCACGTGACCTTTAACGAAGTAAACGCCAAAACGTCAGGGTCCGATTTCGTACTGCTTGGCGCTCTAATAAGCACGGCGAATAAAATGCTAGAAAACGTTTCTTGCACTGCAGCAGACCGGGTGGACTCAGAAGGGTCTCTTAATCTTAGAGCAGTGCAAGTCTTTCTGCCTGGTCTATTCTTGGATCACAGAGGTGGGATAGTGTTCAGTCTGAACATCATCGGTCACTCAAATTACTTTGTAGTTAGCTTACCTTCACATCTCTGTAAAACTTTATCTAGACATGAAATAAATCTTTAGCAGCTGAAAGATGTGAGTCGAGCTTTTAAGCACATGTGTTTATTCGCATTTAAACTGAATTTGTTTAACAGAATAAAATTACAGAAAAGATGTTCCTTAAAAATAAAAACAAAAACAGTCACAGGTAGTTAATGAGTAAACCTTCAAGTTTCGTCTTTGTGTAAAACATTGTTTTGGAAACTTTATTTGATGTCAAATTGATGTACATTTATTCAAATATAGAACGAAGTCAAAATAAATAAAAGCATGTCAAAAAAAAGTACTTCATATTCAAATGGGCTACAGTAATTGACTGTAACACGTTTTTATTATTGGTGAAATGTGCACAAATATTCCAATTTTTTAAAAATATTTTCTAAAAGATTGGTATATTTGGTAAGAATGTCACATATTTGAAGCAGCAGGTATAGAAACAATTTTAAAGTGGAAACAAAACAGAATTAAATGGGCAGGTAGTTAGTGCAGCAGAAATGCACTGTAATAACAGTTATCTTAATTAGTGACAAGGACAAAAAAAAAAAAGACTGACATAAATGCTGTAAGCCATTTTTCATACATGAACTCTGCATGTTGCTTTAAGTTGCAAAATGCTGATGCAGTACATAAGAGCCTGTTTCAGATGTGTTCTCATTATGGGAAAGGCTTTGTGCAAGTAAGGAGGGGGTGCTGTCTGGATAAAGCATGCAGGAGTTGCTATACACCACTACCACTTGCGCAATTCTCACATCAGTGCGATAGGACACCACGTAAACTTTCTGCTTTGAATGTCCAAAACAGGTCAGCGCTCCAGTTCATAAAAACAGCTTTACACTTTCTAATAGTTAAACTGACAGTATTTTTTCTACAGTGATGAAAAGTTATGCAAACTGTATATTTATAAAAAAAGCCCTTAGATAATAATTTGCTAAATGTAGGTAAGTTTAAGAATTCTAGCAGTTAAAGAATAACTGGAGTGGAATATTTTTAAATTGTTTAAGGAAAAAGTTATGAAGCATGGAGTGATTAGGTAATAAGGGTCTCAGTTATTCCCTCACTGAGTAGTCAGAATCAGCCCTTTACGATGAAAACTATGCACCCTATGAACATCACAAGGGTGAGGTAGATCTTTTACAGAAATGCGTCCCATGATAACAGTGTCTAATAATGGTCCAAGGGAGGGAAGTGCATCTAACAAGTGTTTATATGAAAGAAAACCAGTTGTGAATCAACTGTGGCCCCCAAAATGATGACAACATTTCATAATAAGGGTATTCATGAGTAAAATAGAATGCTTGAGGTGCAGAGGGTCTTTTTTTGTCATTTCACCTTAAGCAGACAGGCATAGTTCCAACACAATGTAGGGGGCAAGCTTGAAGAATGATAACGACAGACAAATGAGACCGTACATTTTGATTAACAAGCTGGATCTCAGCTGAAGAGCTTCTTTTGCTTGAAGTAGGCATCAAAACGACACTGGGCGTAGTCCTGCAAGACAATGTGGTTTATTACAAAAAATATAAATGTGTGACTTGTGCTACACTAAAAGAGAATAAAAACAACAATAAGAAGAATCAAACACTCCTTACCATGTATCCAAACTCAATCTTGGATATCTTAGCTTGTATGATGGACCAGAGCCCCCAGAGGAAGTGTGATGCTAATGCATATCTACAATTTAAAAAACAAACAGACAGAAAATCCAGTGATCTGTTGATCTGCTGTAAGTTGTTCTAATTGATCGTCAGCACTGCTGTAAAATCTATTTAAGGCTGTTTTACCTGTTTGCTTCAATTATTAAATCTTCTTCAATTTGTGTCTGGTCCACAGCAACGTTAGTGTCTTTGTGCTGTTCTGCCAAATAACTTCTAATAAAAAGAAGCTGAAATTTAAAAAAAAGTTACAAGTTAGTGAGTGTGGCTAAACTTCCAGCTGTTTCTGATTTAACTGATTTGATTTGACTGCATGTGCAGCATTTGATCTCGCTATTAAACATAAAAATGTATGAAGTTTCACCATTAGATGGCACTGCATAACCAGTCTATCCCATCAAGGGAGATGACTTCAAAGTTTTGGTTTGAACATCAGCCCAGTTTTATTTTTCCAAGGAAAGATTAGTAGAAAATTTTCTAACTAGCGTTATATCAAAACAATAAATAAGGAATCAGATCCTAAATGTACTGAAGAGAAAGAAAAACAAATATAGCGAAGCTGTGCGAGTATTAAATCAAGACAAAACACAGCACAATATTTGTGTCATTAATTGAATGCATCTATTAAAAGTGAATCCAGGACTTATTGTCAAAAATCAACGTGTGTGCGTATACATATCTCCAAGTAAATGTTTCAAATCCAAGTTTTCTGCACGGTTTTCCTTGACGGTACATCAAATTACCTTCTATATTATTACAACTTCTATATTCATAATTACAATGCAGCATGTCAGGAGTAAGTAATTTAAGCAGTGTTAAAAATGCAGCTCGATGTGAATACTCTTTATTTGGCGCTAGTGTTTTTTCGGACTGACCTGCTGCTCTCTGGTTGGATAGTTCTCTGGTGTGGCTTTGTAGAAAGGCCACTCATTGTAGGTGTAGTCGTACATCCACTCACAGAAATGGTTGCCAAAGTCAAAACCCCTACAAAAAGGAACACATTGTGTTATTTACCTTCACGTACAGGTGGCACAATTATTTGATTGCTAAATCAAGACAACATTCCCCTTACACGTTACCTGTAGTTGTAACTGCTGTATTCAAAGTCTATGAGCATGAGTTTTTCCGCTGAGGAATGCTTTCCGTCTTCCAGCATGAGGATGTTGCCTGCAGCAACAAAACAAGAAGTGAGGCTTTAGCTTAACAAAATGAAGTAGTAGCATTTCTTTTGACATTATAAAAAACTTTAATGTGAAATAACTTATAGTTTGAATCATAATTAAATGATAAATCTTCATTGTATAATGCAAAAACAAAAAAAAGAATCCAAATGTCCTTTTTGCCCTTAATTCTAATACTGAAAACATTAAAGCATTCATTGATAATTTACAGTAAATTGTGCCTCTAGCATCTTGGCTCAAGCTTTTTTTGTTGGCTTTGCAAAGACTGTCCTAAAGAGATGAACTGAAATTTTCAGTTTGGTGTAGAACAACTCGACTGGTCTGCACAGAGTGCCAATGTCACACCTTTAAGATGACATGGAACAGTTTTTGTGACGCAAGTTTATCAGCTGTCAGCTTATGTGTATCAAACCCTGAAAATGCTTTTATAGCTGCAGAGCTATGACTATAGCTGAACATGAGCTGTCCCTATTAAAAACTACAACCCAGCTTGCTCTTGACTTATATAATGCACAGCTTTCGTAAGAATTGTGACAGTGAAATCAGAGGGTGGGATCTATCGGACCACACCAGAGGCGTAATGATAGGCGGAGCTATGACTGGATGGATTGATGGAAGATTTTACCTTCTTGGACGTCATTGTGGCAAAACACCACTGGCGAGGGAGTTGCTGCGAGCAAAGCACTGTTGTGGAGACATGAGGCAAGAAAAACAAAGTAGGCGATGAAAGAAAAAGAGAGAAACTTGAACACACAAATCTTAGAGATGGATATTCAGCTAGTGCATTTTATGCAATAGAACACTACAATTTAGAACTTACATGAGAAAAGTGCAGACATCCTAATCTTCCAGAATTAAACTTAAGCAATAGCACACAATAAGTGAATAAACTGTGTCAATATTGCACCGTAAGATAAACTGAACTAATCAACAGTTATTACAGGTCCACTCTTATTTGTTGACAGCATGGATAGAGCACTCTACAAAAGTCAGGGGTTACTAATACTACGATTTAGCACAATTATTTCTGCTATTCAGCCAGGATATGTAAAGATATTAAATGTGATATACACTAAGCCATTCAAACCAAGTAAAAATTTACAAATCAATACTCTTGTACAAAAGCGAAAACTCCAAAATAACGTCAGTGACAAAAGCAGTCGATTATATAACTGACACTTTGATCACTAGTAATTCCTAACCATAGAGAGAAGGCCAAACTGCCTAGAACAAGCTAAGATAACAGTACCCTGCAGTCAAATACGCAACATGCTGTGACAGATACGTTTTCAACTCAGATAAATCTGAAGGCTCAAGTTCATTGCAGCAGACAGCAACTACATATGTGAGACCAGTACATATAAACAAGATAACATTTGTTCATAGATAAACACAGACAATAAACACTGGTCTGATTCTCTAGCTGTTCTAAGGTCAGACTACCCAGACAACTCAGCAAGTGAACTTGTGGAAGCACTGGGACAAAGGTCACCTACCAGATGGAAGCATGAATTCCAAAGATTACATTTATGTAAGTAACGTAAGCAGAGCTACAATCCTTCCAGCTTTGAATAATGCAGCAAACCTTTTCACACAAAGACTCATTTGTGAGTCTTTGTGTGAAAAGGTGACTCACTCACAGTGTAGGGCTGTGAATTCTATCGTTCCAATAATGATATAAATCACAAAAATGTAACATTTTCTGTAAATTCTGTGAATCTCGGGCAGCTCGATTTGCGGGAAGTGTTTCCAGCAGCGCATGTAGCTGGAGTCGAGTGTTTTAACCGATGCATGAAACGATACATTTTTAGACATAAGTTGTAACGGCCGCCGTTTTCTTTGTGAGTATTTATTACACGGCGTGCTGCGGGGAAAAGCCTGTTCTAACGTTTGAGTCTAAGGTTTATTTTTTAGCACCTGACGGCTCTTTTTTACTTCTCATCTGTGATTCAGTTTATTTTGAAAAGTCTCAACAGGATCTTGAGCTTTATTGTGAAAGGTTTATGTGGAAAATAAACAAGCGGACACGCGATGCTGTTACCGTCGTTGTTGCTAACCACAACGCATAAA